ACACAAGCCCAAATGTTTAACCAATCTGCTTTATCTAAATAGAAACTACTAGCGTGACTAATAGAGGACAAACGCTAGCTGAATGCTAATACGCAGCTAATATAGCATCTGTTGCTGAATTGATATGGTCTTCTCTCTGAGAGCGTGTTTTGCTAAATACAGGCCTTTGAATTAGCCATGTCAACCTTAATCATGACATTATCGTTCTGGTTTGCTGGAGTTTTTGCCGTAGGCTATGTAGGATATAGTCTATCCGATGCTAACTGACCCACGCTAATATGTGTAATTTGCCTGATTTACATTTCAAGATGCAAGTAGCCTATTTCAGCAACGTAATGTTCGCTTGTCACTGTGTTAGAGTCTTTATGTTTCTAATATCTCATGTTAAGTGTTTTCTTCTACGTAAACGAATAGGAAAGGTTTTTTTTTAAAACACTAAAAGTCATAATTAATTAAATAATTCAACAAAAACAGACATTACATGAAAATATGTCAATGTTTGTGTACAATCTTATTAGATTAAAGAATACAACAGTTTAAGACTTGAGAGAGTTTATTCTGACACTGAATCTGTGCTTTATTTCCCAGCATAATAAATTAAAACCTAATATAACTACACAGGCTCGTAGCCAGCCTGGTTTAAGGGTTTCTATTTAATTATGAGATTTAAATACTGGATTTTAGTGACATTTTGAGCTAAATCTTTTGCTAGATTAGCTTGTCAGATGGCCATCATCACCACACTATGTAAAAAATATATTTCCTAAATATTTTCAATTAAAAAATGTGAAACAAACCTTTTTTTAAACAAATTTATTACATTCATTTATAATAAAAGAAAAATAGGAATCTGTTTTAAAAAATTTCATCTGTAACCTATCGTCATTTATTTGAGAAATAAAAAACTGGCCAGCACATTCAACTTTCCTCAGTCACAATTTGACCATTTGAAAAAAAATGATTAAAACATAATAATAATAATAATAATAATAATAATGAAGAGCTTCACAATTTTTGCAACCTCTCTTGTAAAAAAAAGGCACATTTGAAAATTCATAGATGATAACAATCGCCAAAATAGTATGGAAATCAGTTTTAATGTGGTCCGCTTGATGCTTCACACCTTTTTATTGGTCATTTTTTGTTTCAAGAGTTGGCCTGAGGTCCAAGATTTAGAATGAAAATGACTTGTAAAATGTTTTCTCTATTTAAACACAATACAATAGCTGAAGATGACCACTGAGGTCACACTGAATGTTTGACAATGAGTGACAGCCAACAGAGGATTCTGCTTAATCTTAAAGCCTTCTCGATTACTTATTTTCACAATTTGTTATGGCATAGCACTCAAATTAGGAGAAATGAGCGGATGTATGGGACAAATTCAGGGCATTTGTCAGTGAGGGGTGGGTCTTCCGAACCACTTGAAACCCCCCCCCCCCCCCCCCCCCTTGGCTAGGAGGCTGTTACATATTCTAAAGCTTTATCCTGTCATACAGATTTTGAAGAGATGCATTAAAAGAAAACTTTGCATTTGTTAATTTAGCTCTTCTATTTAGATTTTTACAATTATATATTGTTTTTAAAGATGTCAAATCTTTTGGGACTGAATTTGCTTGTGCTTTTGACAAAGCAATGCAGCATGAAAAATTAATCATATTTCTCCATTTAAAAATGAGTTTATACAAGTAAAACTTGTTATAAAAGTATACGGTGATTTGTTTGACTTAAATATGTAGGTTTCATAAATGTAAAGTGTTTTGAACAGTTCAATGCAATTTAATTAAAGTTCAATGATGTTCAGTAATTCTTAAGATATTTTTTAAATATACAGTGTCACTTATATTGTGCATTGGGCATACATTTGTTACAATTCATGTGTAATAAGAAATTTCAAATCATGTTTTTATTAAACTGGCACAAATGCGGCAACATACAAAACTGACTTCTTTCACATTCATTCTTCAGTTATGATGGTAATTTTAGTTTTAAAAAACATTTTTTTTATTTGAATAATTAAACCCAAAATGCTAAATAAAAAAGAAGCAGTAAACAGATTTGAAATGCTTTATGAGGGATAAAATCGCAGTAACTGGTGTCCATTTTTGGTCTCCTAGCATGATTGTGTATTTTGGTTTGCTTTTCTTATAGTCTGAGAGCAACTGAGAGCGACTAACAGTAGTTTTTAATGAAGAAATTCTCCACCTTCTGTTCTTTAAACTTCAACAGCCAAAGTGGCTCTTAACATGTTTAAAAAGCTTTAAAATCACTCAGTGGAATGCAGAGAACTGCCATCTATCAGGATATATATATATATATATATACACACACAGTTGAAGTCAGAATTATTAGGCCCCCTGAATTATTTCTCCCCTTGTTAATTTTTTCCCCAATTTCTGTTTAACGGAGAGATTTTTTTTCCAACACATTTCTAAACATAATAGTTTTAATAACTCATTTCTAACAACTGATTTATTTTATCTTTGCCATGACATTTAAAGGTTTACTAGGTTAACTAATTAGGCAAGGTATAATGATGGTTTGTTCTGTAGACTATAGAGAAATTTTTTTTTGTAATTTAATCATTTTGTAATTTAATAATTTTGTTCTTAAAAACTGTTTTTAATCTAGCAGAAATAAAAGAAATGAGACTTTTTCCAGAAGAAAAAACATTATCAGACATACTGTGAAAATTTCCTTGCTCATCATTTCGGAAATATAAAAAAAAAGAAAAAAAAATGCAAAGGGGGGCTATTAATTCTGACTTCAACTGTATGTATATATGTATATATGTATGTATATGTATATGTATATATATATATATATATATATATATATATATATATATATATATATATATATATATATATATATATATATATATATATATATATATATATAATTTTATTCTATTTTTTGTTTTTTTATGTTTTGTTTTATGAATTACTGGTCCTAAAGCATCCTCCATCTTGATCTCACTTTTGACATGGACTACTGTCTGAGTGACTTCATGAAGCCTAGTTCACACTGTATGATTTTAAGCAGCACAGATTGCTGTGTCCTTCACACCACATGACTTGATTTTATGTATTTAAATCGATGTTGTGTTCACACTATGTAATTAATCCACAAGAGGGAGTCACACACTACATGAACTGACAACAACTCCGGGTGGATTTCATTCTGAAGGGCTCAACACTATGCCTTAATCCCTTCTGAGGGTTGCTCTGAAGGGTTTAAAGAGGTGGTTCTCAACCATGTTCCTGGAAGACCACCAACACTGCATGTTTTAGATGCTTTATTTGTCTGTTACACCCTATACAGGTGTTTTAGTCTCTGCAAACGAGCTGATGAACTGAATCAGGTGTTTGATTAGGGCAACATAAACTGTGTCCGAAATCATAGGTACTACATTTGAATTTACTACAGGATTGCTTGAAAAGTACATTCTATATAGTATAAATGTGAGTAGTATGAATGTAACTTTTACGTACTACATCCACCATTGCTCAATATCACGTGACCTTCCCACATCAGTTGTGTCTTCATGAATTCTCTACAATTGCATCATGGGAGCATCCATTGGATGCGCACTTGAGAATCTCGCCGGTAGTAGTAGGTCATCCAGGTACTTCTCGCATACTGTTTTTCAAGACTATGGCTGCGTCCGAAACCGCATACTTCCATACTATACAGTACGCTAAAATAAGTATGCGAGCCGAGTAGTATGTCCGAATTCATAGAATTCAAAAATCAGTAGGCAAGTACCCAGATGACTTACTACTTCTGGCGAGATTCTGAAGTGCGCATACCATGCATGCTGCGCTATCCCATGATTCCCCCTCGAGAGAATTCATGAATGGAAGTGAAGCGACGCAGTTGATGCGGGTAGGTCATGTGACCATGACAAAATGATGAATGTGGTACATCCGAATTCCTTTCATACTTTTCACATTCATACTGTATAGAATGTACTTTTCCATCGCCCGAGTAGTACGTTTAAATTCAAATGCAGTACCTACTGAGTAGCAGGCGGTTTCGGATGCAGCCAATGAAATCGAACGCTACTCGTCTTGCATACTGTTTTTAGCTTACTATATAGTATGGAAGTATGCAATTTTGAATGCAGTAATGAAAAATGTGCAAAGCTGGTGGTCCACCAGGAACGTGTTTGAGAAACACTGGATTAGAGCATAGAGATGAGCCCTTCTGAATAGAGTGCAGTGTGTGACACCAAACAGCTTTAACAGGATCATTTCCCGAAATGCCCATCACTTGTATTTTGTTAAAATACTTCATTCTTTTATACTAGGGCCCTTTGAAGTGGCCAGTTTTAATCACTTCGGTTTGGATGGACACTTTAATATGGTGATCATGATTTTTTTTTTTTCACACTGTAGTGCCCTTCAGAGGGCGATATATCTGCACCCGGCATCTCTGTCCAGCACCCAATATTGAGGGAGGAGCCATCAGAAAGACTTGAACACTATTGGCTGCTTGTGTGGTGATGACATCACAGTGTTTGAAATCAAGGGAGCATTTGAAAGTGTCGTCAATCAGCTGATCTGTCAGTGGTTCGGCTGATAGATGTGGCTTTAGTATGCTCTCGTGTTTATGTAAACGCAGGGTGAAGCGAGTGCATTGAGGAAAATTCTAGCCAATCATTATCCGAGAAATGATCCAGGATATTGGATTTTCATTTGCGAGGTCTCGACAACAAGCCTCTGATTCGTTGTTCAGTAGTTCACACATAAAAATCCTCCAATCACAGCCTGATCTGTGAGCAAGCTTGCTAGCAAATCGGTCTTAAAATCATGCAGTGTGAATTAGGCATTAGTGTGCGATGATGATGATGATGATCCTCAAAAGTACGGAAAAGAAAACAAGACACATCCTAATATCTCTATAATAGACCTGTGAGAAGTGAAGTGTGTTTTTGGAAAACTGAATCCTGAGTGCGTTTGTTATTTGAGCTTAAGCAATGGAGTGTAACAAGCAGGTTTCCACCAAAACCTTGATATTTGCCATATATACACACACGTACATATATCTGAGTTTGATTTTCTCCATTAGACGTCAGTGGATTTGTGTATTTGGACAGAGGGGGGCAGCGGACACTGCTTTATCTGTGTGATATCCAGAAGGCACTGGGGTTTGGTGGACATTGAGACTCTAGCAAACCTGCGTAAGACCTGATTGGCTTGAATCATCCAGTAATGCGTACAGGAGCTACTTGCGGCGACCGTGATGATGGTGGTGGTTGTGCATGTCCTCCATAGTGACTCTGCCCCAGACGCCGATTACAAATGTCTCGATGTCACACTCGTTCACACCGCGAGCTATGCGGAAGTAGCCGTCCTCACCCCAGTTCTTGCCCCATGAGTTTGCTCCGATCTGTGGGATCAAAAAGAGACTGGTTTAAAATTCTATTGTGGGATAATCATAGATATATACACTAGATATCGCATAGGGACCCTGAGCATGCGTCAATAGCGCCGCCACATTGATACAGTGCTCCCAGGACTAGTGTCATTCAACCGCATTAGTCAAGACGGTGTTATTACGTGAAGATGCGGGACTTTAGCGCTGTCTACATGTGTAGTAACGAGCAAACAAAGAAAACAAAGCACAAAGGCAGAACATTTTATATGTAATATTAAGTTTTTTTCTGTTTTTGTATGTTCTGAACTTTTGTGCTAATCAGGTAACGTTATTGATGATAACAGTCACTTACTGCATTTACCATACTGCAAAGCAGCTCCAACTCGCACTAAACACTCGGCTTATGCTAGTTTTGTTGAATAAAATCAGCAAACAATGCAAAAGAAATATGACAACGAGATGCTGCGCTGCCAGAAACTTGTATTGTTGTCGGCTAACGTTAGTGAAAGAGTCGTTCGGGGCATTCATTCACAAATGAATCGCTCCCTCTGTCAGTATGAGAAGCGAAAGCAGGAGAGGAGCTGTGTTTCAGGACACGGATTAGATTAAATTTAACAGTGAGGGTGAATAGTAGATTTCTGTACACACAAACACAAGCTTTTTGTCAGGAATGCCCGTGCGGTCACTGATCCATCAATGTAGAAAAGTGATGTAAAATTATAATTTTCGGAATTAGAAAAAAAAATTACATGCTAAAATCCAGGAAAACTCCCGATCATAGATATATGTGTATATGTGTATATCTCTGGCTTTGGATGGCCACAGTCCTTCACTGTACCTTGGTCCCGCATTCATTTCAAAGGAGCGCTACCCTGTAGCAAGATGGCGGCGCTATTGACGCATTTCTTCCAATAGACAACAATAGGCCAGGCGACATCTAGTGTACATATCTATGTAGGATAATTAGGATATAGGTGTCTCCTAAAAAAAAAAATAGGAAAGGGCTCCAGACTTTCTGGACCTGTTCTGGCTTTGGTTTTATTGCAAATCGAATCTTTTTCATCCGAAGAGCATGCAGGAAATCAAAAACCCATTGCCGATAAGAAGGGGGAGCTGCTGACTTCCAATTCATAAGAATAAGTCGTCTAGCCAGTAAGGTTGCAAAGGCTACGCTTTCAGCCTTTAATGAATTTAATTCAGCATATTCTGGTAGGATTTGATACGAATTTTTGAAGCTGCGTCACGAGATTAGATCTTGATTAGATTTGTCTGTACTGGCCAGTACAATGTGACGTGTTTGAGTGTGCAGCATTAATTCATGAGATAGACTTGGTTCAAACCAATCAGCGCGCTCTATTGTGTATGTGATGTAACTTCATTAATATGCATGATAGCTTCGAAGACGCCACCTTTTGTTACTAAAACAAGTGGAAGAAGAAGCATTGTTTGGAGACACAGGTTGTCAGTGTTGTGTTTATAAATGTGCTGCAACGAAGGTTTTGTTTTCATTTCCAGGTATGAGAGCGCAGCTGGACCCATGTGTGGATCACGGTGCACGCAACAGAAATATGTTTTTGTTTTTTGTTTTTTTTTAAATTGTGACATCCAGATTTGCCGCTCGTCTTCTTTAAAAAAAAAAAAAGGCGTGACTCCAGTTGGTGTTGATTGTCCTGTCTCTACAGATTTGGTAAGTGTGGGATCAATGTTCTTCATTTATGTTTATGTCGAGGCAACATTAGTTCATTTCCTTAGCAGTACTCTTTCAGTTTTCAAAGACATACCTTAGTAAAAATGATGTAGTTACTAAGTTTACAGTATGTTAATATCACTAAAATATAATGGACTGAAAGATCCGCTGTAAATGCTGCTCTCTGAGTGTAAACGTGTAAACACCTTAAACTATTACTGTTGTGTATAATTTTCGCTGCATTTTGTGACAGGATGGTCTATACACACACGGCTGACGCTGACGCTACCTACCGAGTGCATCTAAGTTACCGAGAAATGCGGAGGTTTTTTTTTCCTCCCATTCGGCTTGCAGTGTCAAACTTTCCATTGCAACTACACTCTTCCAGCAGTTCCTAACATAAAAATATCTCGTTTGTCACGGGGGGCATGCAGGAAATGTTTTTGAATGAAAATGAAAGAGCCAAACTGCAGTTAAAGTCAACAAATGAATAATTTGGCAAATATTTCGATTACTGATGTCCATGTAAATGCAATCACTGTCTTTCTCTCCTGCGTCTGTGTTTGTTTTGTCTTTGTGAAAATCAGAGCATGCCCAAACTGAAACTCCCATTTTTTCGCAAAACCTTCCCTCTTTCCCTCCCCCGACACTCCAACATAAACAGATCTAGACGCACACACACTTTCCTGACTTTTTTCAAACTAGAAGTGTGAAAACGCAATGCTGACGCAGGTGGATTTCGTGGCCCTTTAAGGTGGATGTCAACCCCTTAGAATAATAATTTATGAAACAATCAAAACTAAAACCATCTTGTATATGATCCGCTTCTTCCCTTTAATTCAATTTAAAAGTCATTTTAATTTTGGTTCATTGGCACACTGAGAGAAAATCTTTGTGATTTTAGAGTGACAATTGTACAGCATGAGTGTAAGATTAGTGTATCAGATACAGATGTGCGATCTCACCCAGTATTTGCGTGTTCTGCCACTGTAGTCTCTCTCCTCTCCCCATCTGAAAAAACAAAAACAAAATACCAATTCATACAGTATTGTGCATCAGCTAAAAAATTTCAATTTCAGTCAGTTTTTGGGGTGAGAAAATGAAGAACTGTAGACATCCAAGCTAAACTGAGTTTCAAAGCAGATCTTTCTTACACAAATAAACACAATTTCTTAATCAGTATTATAGTCCTGTTTTATTGACTATATATATAAAATGTATATCTGTATTATCTTAATTAGAAGCCAAAATTGAATAAATGAACAAAAACAGGAATTATATGCATAATTCTACAAAATCTCTGACACTATTTCTTTTTATCACCCTTGACTAACTGTACATATACTATATAATCTTTATACTTCATCAGTTCTTCTAAATGGTGACGCAGGTAGTGCTGTCGCCTCACAGCAAGGAGGTCGCTGGGTGGCTGTTTCGAATCTCGGCTTGGCTCGGATGGGATGGGAGTGGATGTTTCCCAGAGATGGGTTGTGTCTGGAAGGGAATCCGCTGCGTAAAAACGTGCTGGATAAGTTGGCGGTTCATTCCGCTGTGGTGACCCCGGATTAATAAACTAAGCTGACAAGAAAATTAATAGATAAATGAGTTCTTCTAAATTCTGGTTTTCTGGATACACAAATGTGAGGTGCAGTAATGTTTCATTTGTCAATACTAAGACAATAGTAATCTAGGGTGCCAAAAAGTCTAAAAATAGCCCTGGTGAGGTGAAAGCAGAAAAACAGCTCAAATAAACACAAAGTTATATCAAAAGTATGACAAAAACGGAATTTGTCATGTTTGTTATGCGTTTGAATGTAAACAGCTGGGGAAGAAACTGCATGAGTATGACTACATTAGATCTGTGAAACAGGGTCTCCTGTTCATGAAGACAAAACATTATTAACAATTCAAACTCACAACTAACACAACTCCACCTGGCTCTGTCCCCTGAGGAGGTAATCATTTATACTCAGGACACTGTGTGTTGTATGTTCCTGGAAGAATACTCAGGACTGCAATAAAGCCGTCAGAGAGAGTTCAGAAAAAGCGTTGCTGATACAGGTAATTCCTCCCTTTAGAGTGAAGATTTTAGCAACATCACACACTGAAGGAATCTGAAAGTGTTAAAACCATAATAGGACTTCATTAGCCACGAAATCACATCCAGGCCCTTGATGCGCTGAATTGTGTCCACATATCAGAGGAAGGAAGCCGATCTCGCCCGCCCCTTTACATCTCAAGTCAACAACAACTGCACGCTTTGAACCTTCACCATGCCAAGAACTTCCTTCCGCTTCTCCACCCGTCCTGGTTCTTGGAGTATTGGCCAATCACAGAGGAAGCCTTTGACCCTTCACTGTATATATTTGTCTGAGCTATGAACATTCAGCTTGTCCATCACTACACTCTCAAAAACAAAGGTACAGTCTGTCACTGGGGCATTTACCTTTTTCAAAAGGTAAATTTTTGTTCCTAACAGGTCCTTAAAGGTACATATTAATACCTAAAATGTACAGATGTGTACCTTACAGTATCTTAAAGGTACAAAATGTTTACCTGATGTCCATCAGTAAAAATGTTTTTTTTTTTTAAAACAACTTTTAGGGTCAATATTATTAGCCCATTTAAGATAACCTAGTTAATGCAAACAAGTTAACTAGTTGCACTTTAAGCTGAATACTACACTCACCGGCCACTTTATTAGGTACAGCTGTCCAACTACTTATCAACACAAATTTCGGTAACACTTTACAATAAGGTTTATTAGTTAATGCATTTACTAACATGAACAACACATGTACAGCATTTATTAATCATAATTGAACATTTACTAATGCATTGTTAACATCCAAGGCCATGCTTGTTAACATTAGTTAATGCACCATGAGTTAACATGAACTAACAATGAACAACTGTATTTTCATTAACTAACGTTAACTAACATGAACAAATACAGTAGTAAATGTATTGTTCATTGTTTGTTCATGTTAGTAAATGCATTAATTAACATTAACTAATGAACCTTATTGTAAAGTGTGACCCAAATTTCTAATCAGCCAATCACATGGCAGCAACTTAATGCATTTAGGCATGTAGACATGATCAAGATGATCTGCTGCAGTTCAATCCGAGCATCAGAATGGGGAAGAAAGGTCATTTAAGTCACTTTGAACGTGGTATGGTTATTGGTGGCAGACGGGCTGGTCTGAGTATTTCTGAGTACAACCATCTCTAGGGTTTACAGAGAGTGCTCCGAAAAAGAGAAAATATTCAGTGAGCAGCAGTTCGGTGGGAGCAAATGGCTTGTTGATGTCAGAGGAGAATGGCCAGACTGGTTCCAGCTGATAGAGAGGCAACAGTAACGCAAGTAACCACTCGTTACTACCAAGGTATGTAGAAAAGCATCTCTGAACACACAACACGTCCAACCTTGAGGCGGATGAGCTACAGCAGCAGAAGACCACACCGGGTGCCACTCCTGTCAGCTAAGAACATGAAACTGTGGCTACGATTCACACAGGCTCACCAAAATTGGACGATAGAAGATTGGAAAAACGTTGCCTGGTCTGATGAGTCTCGATTTCTGCTCCGAGATTTAGATAGTCGGGTCAGAATTTGGCATCAACAACATGAAAGCATGAATCCATCCTGCCTTGTATCAACGGTTCATTCTGGTGGTGGTGGTGTAATGGTGTGGGGGATATTTTCTTGGCACACTTTGGGCCCATTAGTACCATTGAGCATCGTGTCAATGCCACAGCCTACCTGAGTATTGTTGCTGACCATGTCCATGTCTTTATGACCACAGTGTACTCATCTTCTGATGGCTACTTCCAGCAGGATAATGCATCATGTCATAAAGCGTGAATCATCTCAGACTGGTTTCTTGAACATGACAAGTTCACTGCAGGGGCGGACTGGCCATCTGGCAATTCTGGCAAATGCCAGAAGGGCCGGACCATTTTTTTAAATGTGGGCCGGTCAGTTTTTATTTTTATTTTGTATTTTATTATTATTTTTTATATGTATTGTTTTTACATGCAGGCAGCTTTTATCTCGTGCAACATGTGAATATTATGATGACGTTGATGATGGTAATAATAGTAATAATAATAGTAAATGTTAAGCATTTGGCCCAATCGGTGATAGTTTCGAGAGGGGCCGACTCAATCAAAGGTTACGCGGACATAATCAAAATCTGGCAAGAATGTCAAACAAACGTATGGTAATGTGGGCTGGTGTGGCTATGGTGCCAGGGCTGAATTTTTGTCCCAGTCCGATCCTGGTTCACTGTACTCAAATGGCCTCCACAGTCACCAGAACTTGATCCAAAAGAGCACCTTTGGGATGTGGTGAAATGGGAGATCCACATCATAGATGTGCAGCAAACAAATCTGCAGCAACTGCGTGATGCTATCATGTCAATATGGAGCAAAATCTCTGAGGAATATTTCCAGTATGTTGTTGAATCTATGCCACAAAGGATTAAAGCAGTTCTGAAGGCAAAAGGGGGTCCAAACCGGTACTAGTAAGGTGTACCTAATAAAAGTAGCCGGTGAGTGTATTATCTTGCAAAATAATTCGGAAATTATTATGTACTGTAATCACAGCAAATACAAAAAAGTAATTAGAAATGAGTTGCTAAAACTTTTGTTATAAAATGTAAAAAAAAAAAAAAAAAATCTTGCCATTAAGCAGCACTTGGGAAATATTCTTAAAATAATAAAAAAAAAAAAAACATCACATGAGGGCTGAAATTTTAGACATCAACTCTATGACGGAGCTATTTATTTGTGTGTGTGGAATGTCTGGAATAAATATAGTTCTGTCCTCCTCTATTTCTAAAGGAAGTTTTCCATCAGACTCGGGAACACACTGTATCATTCTGCTCCCAAATAATCTGCGTACCCACTGGAGGGGAAGTCAGTACTTATTACAATCAATAAAAATAAACAAAATCACCTAAAAAAACTAAAAAACAATGAGCCCCTGTTTAAAATACAAGGGCGAGTCAGAAGTTCAAAACCAGCGTCTGTGTGTTTGGCAAATGCATGAAAAGTGCAGTTTAGACCCCTGCTATGCTCTTATCTCACCATATTTTCTGTCCTTGGCTTTGGACAATGACAGACATACCACACTGCTCCTGACCTGCGCTGGGTTTAGGCCTCTCTGTCTGCACTGAACAATGCTGTTTCCATTACACTGGACATCACTGAGCTTTCCACAAACTTTCCCAGGCCCTAGGCTTAGCCGAATGCACCACGGTGGGATTTTCCCCGTAAAAACACTGCCGCTGCCCCCTGTATGCCAACTCCACAGGGCTATACAGCGTCCTCTGAACGTCTAGAGCAGCGCTAGAACTGCAGAGTCAGCGAGTGACAGGAGGCCGGGAGAAAAGCCGGGGTTCAGACGGACTCGGGCTGCGTATCGCCGTCAGCACTGAAGCATGACACACTCACAGACACCAGCGGCAGGTCAGTCGAGGTGATCAGAGGCACACCTGAGGAACAGGAACTCAGCCAATGGACATACACTGACAGGGAAAGACTACACCGTGAAACAATTACGGCTGTATCTGAAATCGCCTGCTATACCCTAATCCTAAAGTTGTGACGTAGAGATTATTGTTTCTGGGTCCAAGCAGCTACAGAAAAAAGATGTTTGCTGTTTGTTTAAACTACTTATTTAAAATGAGCTGAAACAACACAATTCTTCAAGGTTTTTGGGACAACTTACCTGTTTTATGTTACTAAGTTAGTAATAAGTTAACTTAATTCCTTCATGTTGTTCCAACACAATTTGATTGTGTGGAACCATGTATTTTTTTACAGTCTGCTCATTTGGATTGAGAAAATGACCACTTTTTAGTCTTATCGTACACATTAAAGTTAATGTCATGGTGTGGACAACAGTACACAACAAGAAGGTCGCTGGTTTGAGCCTCGGCTGGGTCAGTTGGCATTTCTGTGTGGAGTTTGCATGTTCTCCCTGTGTTGGCATGGGTTTCCTCTGGGTGCTCCGGTTTCCCCCACAAGTCCAAAAATGTGGTATAGTTGAAATAGGTAAGCTAAACTGACCATAGTGTGTGTGTGTGTGGATGTTTTCCCTGTGATGGGTTGCAGCTGGAAGGGCATCCGCTGCCTGAAACATATGCTGGATAAGTTAGTAGTTCATTCCGCTGTGGCGACCCCAGATTAATAAAGGGACTAAGCCGAAAATAAAATGAATGAATGTATTTTACAGTGTATTACAGGATTAATAGTAGAAAATGCTGTCATCATAAACTTACTTTTATTCTTGTTCTGAGTTTATGAGTGCCTTCTAATGAACAAAAGAAATTTTTTTAAAGAAAGCTGGAAACCTGTAGCCATTGACTTCCATAGTATTTTTTTCTTATAGAATTCAAGGATTACAGGTTTTTTCAAAATATCTTCATTTGTGTTCATCAGAAGAAAGAAACTTGTGGGACAGTAAATAATGACTCAGTTTTAATTTTTGAGTGAACTATCCCTTTAATAATTTTTTTATTCATTAAAATGAGTTTATTTTTATTATATATACTACCGGTCAAAGGTATGGGGTCAGTTTTATTTCAGTTTTTGCATGTTTTTTTTTTTTTTTTTAAAGAAAATTATTCTGTTTATCGAGGCAGCATTTATTAAATGTAAAAAAAAAAAGTTAAATGTAAAAATAATTATTACAATTTTAAATAACTGCTTTCTAATTGTAATGTAGTTTGAAATAAAATGATAACTCCAGTCATTATTGCTTATTACTATTATAATTAATAATAATAATAATAATAATCAATAAATGATAATAATAACAATAATAATAATAAATGATAATAATAATAAATGATGATGATAATAATAATAATATTAAATAATAATAATAATAATCAATAAATGATAATAATAACAATAATAATAAATGATAATAATAATAAATGATGATGATAATAATAATAATATTAAATAATAATAATAATAATAATAATAATAATAATAATAATAAAATAAATAATAATAATAATAACAACAATAATAATTAATATTAGAGTGATTTCTGATGGATCATGTGACTCTGAAGACTGAAGTAATGAAGCTGAAATTTCATCATTAAAATCACTGGAATAAATGATTAAATTAAATGATAAACTACTTTTGAACAGTTATTTTATAGTGCAATAACATTTCACAATTTGCTATGTATTTATCGATTTTATCGATTTTAAAACAGAAGTCGATTTTAAAACAGTTAAAAATCCTGACTTTTGACTGGTAGTACATATATATATATATATATATATATATATATATATATATATATATATATATATATATATATATATATATATATATATATATATATATATATTTTTTTTTTTTTTTTTTTTTTTTACGTTTAATTTAAGGAGAGTTTCAGTAGACTGACTATTTTAGGGTTTTTGTATGTTACTTTTTATCAAGTTAAATCAATTATTGGTCAATGATGAGCATCCTTCTGCAGTGAGACTCAAAGACTCACAGCCTGTTAGGGTGTGTTGTGTTAGAGTGAGTTCAGAAAAACCAGACAAAGGCTCTGAGTAGTGTGTCTGGGGGTGGGACTGGAAGGCTAGTCATCCAGGTGTTTTGTCTGCTAGCAACAAAAAAGGCAGACAAATGAGGCCTTGATGTCTCTTTAAAACAGTTTATCTTAAATATTGTCCCTTCTGGGCATGTCAGTTCATTGGAGGGCTGTGATGTTGATGCCAACAGTTATGAAAGCTCAGCTCCTGTCTGCCTGAATGTGGAAAGATCTCCCAAGACTGACTGTCTACACTAGAATGACGATATCTATCTATCTATCTATCTATCTATCTATCTATCTATCTATCTATCTATCTATCTATCTATCTATCTATCTATCTATCTATCTATCTATCTATCTATCTATCTATCTGTCTGTCTGTCTGTCTGTCTGTCTGTCTGTCTGTCTGTCTGTCTGTCTGTCTGTCTGTCTGTCTGTCCGTCCGTCCGTCCGTCCGTCCGTCCGTCCGTTCTTCCGTTAGTCCATACGTCCGTCTGTCTGTCTGCTTTGTATAAATTATACTATTTTGTTATTTTAACAATGTTTTTACTAGAAAACAAGACATTTTTTTTAAGCAGGGAATACTCACACTTCAGAACTTAAAATTCACTCAAACCCCAAAATAATTTATTATTAAAATCTGAATTAGCAGAAAATTAGGCAAAAATGTATAATATATATTCTTTGTTTAAACCTCAAAACACAAAAAGATATAATGTACTCTTAAATGTCTTGATAAATCAACATTCGCCAGAGGCTAATCTAATGGAAGCAGCATCAGAAACTGACAAATACTTAAACCTTTGGATGTCCAAGAACTTGCTTTGAAACTCTGCCAAATCCTCATTCATCTTGCTTCCAGCATTATTATGAAAGGTTATGCAATGCTGGGGCTTACCCTGTTATCCTGACAGAATGTGTCGCATGTTTGCGGTATTGTGAGGGTTTGTGGTAATTGACATCTGTATGTCTGAAAATTCCACTCTTGTACACAAAGAAGTCTTCATGGACCTCCATGATAGCTGAAAAAAAAAGAAAAACAAACATCACACACACACATCAAGTATCTTTAAAAGCACTGTGGTAAATTACAATTATAGAAAGGGATTATTAAAGCCTAAAATGAATTAACCATCAGATTCTTCATTCTTATCGCTCACACACAACCAGAACAACAGGAAACACTATGATTGATTTCAATGCTAATTAAATAATAAACACCAAAACAATACAATACAAGCTCACACAAACATTTTGTTCCTTTGTACATCAAAGTGAGATCAAAGTCAACAATCGAATTGTACTAAAGTTCAAACAAGCTTCCAATGGCATAAAAAAAAACTTTTTGGGTGGGTACAGGTTGTAATCTTCCAAAGCCCTGGGGACATGTGAAGTGAAAGCAGTTCTAGATGACGCTACATTCTGAGAACCATCTGCAGTATTTTAAGCCTAAAATATATTTAATCTTTATGCATAAATATGAGCATATCAGTGTGCATGAATGTCTTAGCCCTTGATCACACCAAGCATGCTTTTTTCCTGTCAACAAAACTGGCAGTGTTGCACTTCACGTTTTTAGATTGGAAATCTAAAAACATGTTTATTGTTGAGGAATTTTTTTACACCGTGTTTATTTTTTTCAAACCGTCCATATAATGAATGTGCAAGTTCTCACATGCGCTTTGAATTGGTTTTGCACTACTCAGTTTGTCCACAAGGTGTCAACACCGAACACTGAAATTTGTAGTCAACTATTTTGCCTTTCTGGCCAATATTTCACTTACTTTCTAACATGAAGGGCCCTAGCATACACCCGGCGCAATGCGGCAAGGTGTCCCGCAATTGTTGTTTGCTATTTTCAGCTCGACACAAGTGTCAGTTTGACGTTTTCCACCACGCTGTTTAAATAGCAAATGCATTTGCGCTCATATGTGCACCCATAGGCCATAGGTCTAAAAAAAGGGATGTGTTGAGGCACATTGCTCGCCCGTTGCTAATTTGAGGAACTAAAATAGACTGCACAATAGACCAGCTGAGAGGAGGTCTGAAGTCCAGTGCAGAGCACGTTAGTTGTGCGCCTCGCTTAAACATTGCTCAGTACACACAGGCATACCTGCCAACACTCCCGTTTTTCTCGGGAGTCTCCCGTATTTCAGACCCATCTCCCGTTTTGTTCTGTCTCCCGGAAAACTCCCGGAACGCCCCCCCCCCCTCCACCAATTATTAAATATTACTAAATATAATACAATATAATTTTAAACATGAAATATGCAGTATTGGAAAGTTACTTATGAATGTAATGCATTACAATATTTAGTTACTCCCTAAAAGTAACTTCCTGACGCTATACATGCCATATACACAGATTAATTTACAATGAAAGCAATGTGTTTGCCGTGGTATTTTTGTCTCATTGAGAGTGTGATTGAACATGATTATACTAATTTTAATTTTGCAAATATTTTTTTAAAGCAAATGAATAAATCTAAAAAGTATCTCGAGTTACATTTTTTAAAAAAGTAACTCAAATATTATTACTTATTTTTTTTAAATAATGCGAAAAACTCGTTACTAAGAAAGTAATACTATTATGTAACTCACGTTATTTGTAATGTGTTACCCCAAACACTAGAAATATATGATATATTATTGAAGAATAATAATAAGCTTTAAATCAACTGAACCAATTGGTTCACAAAGCAATTTACAGTTTCGAAGCAATTAAAACAGCTCACTGGTGACACCCGCAGGCCAAAACATATATTGTATAATACTTCAAATTTAATTAAATAATTAAATATCACTAAATGTGAGGTATACAATATTTTAAATACAAAAAATATGCAGTATTGGGAAAGTTACTTTCGAATGTAATGCAGAACAATATTTAGCTACTCAACAAAAGTAACTTCCAGACACTATACATGCCGTGTATACAGATTATTTAAAGTTGAAAGCAATGTGTTTACTACTTTGGTATTTTTGTCTCATTGAGTTTGTAATTCAATGTGATTACACTAATTTTAATTCAGCAAATATTTTTTTTTAAAATGCATAATAATTAATCTAAAAAGTAACTCAAGTTTTATTTTTAAAAAGTAACTCAAATATTATTACTTAATTTTTAAAAAAGTAATGCATAAAACTCGTTACTTAGAAAAATAATATTATTACGTAACTCGCACTATTTGTAATGTGTTACCCTCAACACTGGAAATATGTGATATATTATTAAATAATATATGATATATTATTATAGAATAATAATAAACTTTAAATCAACTGAACCAATTGCTTTACAAAGCGATTCATCATTTCGAAGCAATTAAAACAGCTCGCTGGTGACACCCGGAGGCCAAAACATATAACGTATAATAATTCAAATTTAATTAAATAATTAAATATCACCAAATGTGAGGTATACAATATTTTTAATATAAAAAATATGTAGTATTGGGAAAGTTACTTTCGAATGTAATGCAGAACAATATTTAGCTACTCCCCAAAGGTAACTTCCAGACACTATACATGCCGTGTATACAGATATTTTAAAGTTGAAAGCAATGTGTTTACTACTTTGGTATTTTTGTCTCATTGAGTTTGTAATTCAATGTGATTACACTAATTTTAATTCAGCAAATATATTTTTTTAATTGTGTAATAATTAATCTAAAAAGTAACTCAAGTTTTATTTTTGAAAAAGTAACTCAAATATTATTACTTAATTTTTTTAAAGTAATGCATAAAACTCGTTACTTAGAAAAATAATATTATTACGTAACTCGCGCTATTTGTAATGTGTTACCCTCAACACTGGAAATATGTGATATATTATTAAATAATATATGATATATTATTATAGAATAATAATAAACTTTAAATCAACTAAACACTTCAAATTTAATTAAATCATGAAATATCACTAAATGTGAAGTATACATTATTTTAAATATGAAATATGTGCTATATTATTAATTGGACATGCTAGTTCATTTAGAATAGGTGACTACTAACAACTAATTTTACATATATCTGTACAAATAAATCTTTGGCTTGTATTTGGGGTATTGAAACATTACTACTGTACTGTACATTGAAACATCACTACTGTACACACATCCATATAAACTTAAATATATGTTAAGCTTTAAACTGGGTTTTTCCAGACATTACAAGGAGATCCTCAGCACAAACAGAGCTAAATGAACACACACACACTCATGCACATGTAGACTATCTTTTCATCTGCTGTTTCTCAATATAAGTCAGAGGTTAGGCAGAATTTTTGCAAAGATTAGAAGTGAAATCTGGCGAAAATCCAGGATTCTCTCCTGGAACAATACAACAGAACACTGGCACGGGATCATGGAGAAACTCCGAACAACACACCCTCATCATATTACTCTAGGGGACTTTCTCAAGAATGTACTGTATAATATATGATGAGTTTAGGCCTTTTGTGTAAACTAATTGCTTTGTACGGGCGTCTACGGTATCCATGGTGACTAATGTGACAGACTGATTGCTTGCTGACTGCGTTAACCGTCATTAGCCATGTGCTTTTGACTATTCTTATCCTCTGGCTCACAAACAGACATACATACACACATTGAGAGAAATCCATACCTTGCACAGGGCCATTATCCATAATCTCTTTCATAATCTCGTTCTCCTGCAAGTGGAAAAAAACAAAAACAACATGTCAAGAAAGTTGAGGAAATTTGAGAATGAACAGCGTTTTCCAGACTAATGCCATTTTTGCATGCATCACAAAACAAAGGTAAATGCATTCCTATAGGAGTTCCAGAAACAGTGCTCTGAAATAAGCTGTCTAGGTAAATAGAATATAATAAAATAAAAAAGTTAAATAAAAAATTAAAATAAATTAAAAAAGTTAAATAAAATAAAAGAAATACGTTTTAATAAAAAAGTAAAATAAAATAAAAAAGAAAACTAGAATAGATAAATAATTAAAATAAAATAACATAGTAAAATAAATGAATAAAGTAAAAAAGTAAAATTAATGAATAAAACAAAGTATGTAAAATAAATAAATAAAATAAAACAAATTAATTAAATTAAAAAGTAAAATAAAATAAATTACAAATAAAACAAAAAAGGAAAATAAGTAAAAAAGTTAAATAAATAAGCAAAAAATAATAATAAAATAGTGAAATAAATAAATAAAATAGTAAAATAAATAAACAAATAAAATAAAATAAAAAAGGTAAATAATACAAAATAAAGTAATAAAGTAAAATAAAAAAAATTATAAAACAAAATAGTAAAATAAATAAATAAAATAAAAAGGTAAAATAAAGTAAAATAAATAAAATAAAAAAGTAAAATGATAAAATAAAGTAAAAAGTAAAATAAATAAACAAATAAAAAAATAGTGCAATAAATAAATGAAATAAAATAGTAAAATTAATAAACAAATAAAATAAAATAGTGAAATAAATAAAATAAAAAAGTTTATTAAAGTAAAAAAGTAAAATAAATAATTAGAATAAGGTAAAAAGTAAAGTAAAATAAATAAAATAAAAAGTAAAATAAAGTAAAAATGTAATGTAAAATAAATAAACAAATAAAATAAAAAGTAAAATAAATAAATAAATATTATTGATATTATTTTATTATCAGTATTTGTTTTCTATTTTTCCATTTTTTTTTTACTCATTTATTGTTACTTTTTTGAGTATCTGTAATTAACTGTTGTGTAAGTGTTTGTTGGACAAAGTGAATATGAAAGTGAATGTGTTTTGATATTTTTTAAAAACCTAATAAATAAAGTTGTAAAAAAATTAAATATATATTATTATTAATAATAATAATAACAATAATATATACTTATTATTAACTTATTTTTTATATTTTTATTTTATTAAAATTACCATTAAGTTCATCAATTAATAAAAATAAAAGTTGAATAATTTCCTCAAATATTCCTGGAATGATATACGATCTAAAACATGCCTAGAGAAATATATTTAACACAGACTATGTGACAAATGCATGGTTAGAGAGAATACATCCAACCATGACAGGACTACTAATCTAAATCCTCTCCAGACAGTTGAGAATTATTCCTCCCTTTGGCTTTGAGCTGAAGGGTTTTGATGGATGAAGAAATCGCGAGCAAAAATGCACACAGATGCTGGGTGTGAAGGAAAAAACAGTAAATCACTGATGCTTAAAGCATTGGTTACGCAGGCAGATGACTGTGTGTTTAATAGAGAGTGTAATCCTAACATGTTGAGACATACGGGATGCCTGATGTACTCTATAAACATGGTGAAGTGTCTGGAAAAGCAGTGTGATTGGACTTACGTTGGTGGACAGTCTGTATGGTGGGGTGGACTGATAGATGTCATTGTGGTAGCTGTGGCTGTTGGGACAGTGTGCTGTGGCTTGTCTCTTTCCTCTGCCCACCGCTCGGCTCTGCATCATACAGCGAGCAACTTCAACCGCGCTTTGTTCTGGTGGAGAAAAGGGGTAACAGTCCTGTGTCACAACCCTGGAAATAAAAAAAAAAAGCAAAAAGACATCATTATTGATGTTTGGGAATATATTCCAATTGCGTAATTCCTGTATCTAAGTTTGGACAATGTAATTTTATGGAAACTGGTTACATTGTTGGAAATTAATATGAATTAGCTTGACCTCATTTAAACATTTTTGCATGATCTGTGATGTTACAGTATATTCAGGAATGGGCAATTGGTGTAAATAATTTATCGGTTTTTCAATTTATCAAGAGACTGTCATCACATAACAGCATATTCATTTTTAGTATTTGATGTGATTGAAAAAATTGGATTTCTTCCAAAAAATGACATTTCTTCCATTTTTTAATAAAATGTCTTTCATTTTTAATAGAATTTATTAATATAATTTCTTCAATTTTAATAAAATTTATTCCATTTTTATAGAATTTCTTTCATTTTTAATATAATTTCCTCCATTTTTAATAGAATTTCTTCAATTTTTTATATAATTTCTTCCATTTTTATTAGAATTTCTTAAATTTTTTTATAAGATTTCTTCCATTTTTAATAGAATTCATTAATATAATTTCTTCCATATTGATAGAATTTCTCCCATTTTTAATAGAATTTATTAATATAATTTTTTCCATTTTAATAAAATTTCTTCCATATTTAATAGAATTTCTTTCATTTTTAAAAGAATGTCTTACATATTTTAATAAGATATCCTCCATTTTTAATATAATTTCTCCCAATTTAATAGAACTTATTAATATACTTTCTTTAATTTTAATAGAATATTTCCCATTTTTAATAGAATTTATTAATATAATTTCTGTCATTTTAATAAAATTTCTCACATTTTAATAAAATTTCTTCCATTTCTTAATATAGTTTCTTCCATTTTTAATCGAATTTCTTCCATTTTTTATCAGAACTTCTTTATAGAATTTCTTCCATTTTTAATAGAATTTCTTCCATTTTATATAGATTTTCTTCCATTTTATATAGATTTTCTTCCATTTTTTGATAAAATTTCTTTTATTTTTTTTTATAAAATTTATTTTTTTATAAAATTTCTTACATTTTAATAAAATGTATTGATATAATTCTTCCATTTTTAGTAGATTTTTTTTCATTCCTTATTAAAATTCCTTCATTTTTAAATAGAATTTATTAATAGAATTTCTTCCATTTTTTTAATTAAAATTTCTTGATTTTTTTATTAGAATTCCTTCCATTTTTAATAGAATTTCTTCCATTATTAAATATAATTTTTAAATAAAATTTCTTCCATTTAAAACATGAAAGAAAATCTATTCAAAATGGAATTACTTTCAAGTTCCATATTTTTTTGTTTCTTTACTTTTCTGGAGTTAAAACATTATTAATGTGTTGTCTAACAATTAATATAAACATGAAAACATTGTTAGTTTTTTGTTATTTTCTTCCACAAAAAAACTCTAAATAACAGTAAATTTCATTTAAATTTGGAAGATGTTTTACTCAAACATATATCTAAATATGTGGGAAAACCCCCAAAAATATTTTTCTATAATTTTCAAACTGAATTTATTCCCATGATGAAATGCAAAATCCTCAGAATTATTCCTCTAGATTTTAGTCGCATAATCCTTTATAAATCATGTAATTTAATTTGCTGCAGATTTGTTCATTAATATTACTATTACTGTTAATAACACTTGTGGAAACTGTGACATTTTCCTTAATAACATGTTGTTGATGCGTAATTGTTAGAATAGATGTTCTGATTTTAAGAAAAATAATATGATGTGACAGTTTTAAATATTATCTATCAAATGTGCAGCACTTAGATTAGCTCTTAATTTTGTGGTTGTGTGTTAAACATGCAGTGAATTACCCTCTGCGCCGCATGAACCACCAGGCCCCATCGATACGTCCACCAGCGCATCCGTCCTGATGCCGAGTATCGCAGGAGATCAGATTCTGGGGCGAGAGCTGAGGCGTCATGTGACCCATGGACTGAATGGAGATCCGGTCTGATGCCACAGCTAGCAGTGAATCACAGGGGTTCACATATGAGCGTCAGCACTGATGATTGTTCATTCATTCATTCATTCATTCATTCATTCATTCATTCATTCATTCATTCATTTATTTATTCATTTTCGGCTTAGTCCCTTTATTAATCTGGGGTTGCCACAGCAGAATGAACCGCCAACTTATCCAGCATATGTTTCTTATGCAGCAGATGTCCTTCCAGCTGCAACCCATCACCGGGAAAAATCCATACATACTCATCTATACATATACTACGGGCTATTTAGCCTACCCAATTCACTGATGACTAGTAGTGCTATATTAATAAACTGCTTTTAATATAATAGGGTATATGCAGAAGGACTTTTCAGTAAGCCAATTCACTTGCATTGATACATATCGAAATGTGTTTTGACAGCGCATGTTATATAAAAGCTAATATACTGCATATAGAAACTGATTGTCTGTGTTGTGTTTTCGCTGTCTCACCTGCAGTTGAGAAAGCCCATGATGCATTGCAGTTCCCCTGGTCCAAGGGCTCATGAATTTTCCCCGGCCATTTGTCCACTGCATTGAAGTAACTTGGCAGATGATCATTTCCATTCATATTCATCTGTAAAAAATAAAGTAAAACTGAATGTTTTTCTTCACAGGAAATGTCTTTTAGTAGCGTAATGGCACTTTTTGGCAAAGGCGACAAGAATAACACAGAATAGAAATTTCCATAAATGCATTCCTTTAATTTTTTTGGGCTCGTTGGTTCCTGAAGAGATTCCTAGCAATGGACAGAAATGGAACATGAGGCGTCTAGCTTGCTATTAAAATGTCTATGGACAGTACTTCAAATGTATGGACATACACACACCCCAAACAGCAGGAGGGAGAGATACACCGGTCACTAAATCCAGCATAGGGGTTCTCAACTGGCCGCCACGTTCTGACTTTATATTATCACCCCGTTTGTCATAAAGTTAGGTGATGGATTTATACCACGTGTACAGTGGCTCTGAACTGGGAAAACACCTCTCAAAATGCGTTGCGAAAAAACCCCAGAAAAAAATCGAACTTGATTTAAATTGTTTTATGACGAATTCAAGTTTCAAAGTGTGTCAATACGACTGAAACAATGTGAGATCGAATTCATTTTGAATGTGCAAAATGCGAAAAATTCGAATTCAGTGTGCAATAACCCTAATTCAACACATTCTTTACACGATCGTTTCAATTCATTGCGATTTTCCTCACTCAACTAATTTCTGTTACGACTTAACCCCTAGAGGTCATAACATAGGTCTCTTTTATAAATTAAAAATAAATGGTAATGAACAACAATTCAAATGTATCTCCTGAGTCTATTTATAAACATTTAACATTGAAACGATGATCTATAAATTCATAACTTCCTGCATTCATCAGATCTAATGTATATTAAGGTTTAAAACATACCAATATACATCCAAAAAGTTGTCTCCTGCTCACCAATCTCTTTACCTGTAATCACCCATCAGCTAATGATCTAAAACTGACCAGATAAAATGCTCAAACGCATCTCCTGAGTCCATTTATTATCATATAACATTGAGATGATGATCTCTAAATTCATAACATCATGCATTAATCAGATCTAATATATAATGATGTTTTTAAAAGCATCTAAAAAGTTGTTTCCCTGCTAATAAATCTCTTCACCTGTAATCACCCATCAGCTAATGATATAAAATTGACCAGCTGAAATGCTCAAATGCATCTTCTGAGCGCATTTATGATCATGTTGCATTGAAAAGATAATATCTGAATGCATAACTTTATGAACTAATTTCAGAACTAATGTATATTGGTTTAAAAGCATCCAAAAAGTTGTCTTCCTGCTTACAAATCCCTACACCTGTAATTACCCATGCGCTAATGATCAAAACTGACCAGCTCAAATGCAGCTCCTGAGTACATTTATGATCATATTACATCTATAAATTCATAAATTCATGCATTCATAAGATCTAATGTCAAATGATGTTTAAAACACACTAAAAATGCATCCAAAAAGTTGTCTTCATACTCGCGATTCCCTACACCTGTAATTACCCATCCGCTAATGATCAAAACTGACCAGCTCAAATGCTCAAATGCATCTTCTGAGTCCATTTATTATCATATAACATTGAGATGAGGATCTATAAATTCATAACTTCATGCATTCCTCAGATTTAATGCATATTGATGATTTAAAAAGCATCCAAAAAGTTGTCTCCTGCTAAAAAATCTCTTCACCTGTAATCACCCATCAGCTAAGGATATAAAATTGACCAGCTGAAATGCTCAAATGCATCTTCTAAGTGCATTTATGATCACATTGCATTGATAAGATAATATCTGAATCCATAACTTTATGCATTTATCAGAACTAATGTATATTGGTTTAAAAGCATCCAAAAAGTTGTCTTCCTGCTTACAAATCCCTACACCTGTAATTACCCATGCGCTAATGATCAAAACTGACCAGCTCAAATGCATCTTCTGAGTCCATTTATTATCATATAACATTGAGATGAGGATCTATAAATTCATAACTTCATGCATTCCTCAGATCTAATGCATATTGATGATTAAAAAAGCATCCAAAAAGTTGTCTCCTGCTAACAAATCTCTTCACCTGTAATAACCGATCCATTAATCATATCAAATTGACCAGCTGAAATGCTCAAATGCATCTTCTGAGTGCATTTATGATCACGTTGCATTGAAAAGATAATATCTGAATGCATAACTTTATGCATTTATCAGAACTAATGTATATTGGTTTAAAAAAGCATCCAAAAAGTTGTTATCCTGCTTACAAATCCCTACACCTGTAATTACCCATGCGCTAATGATCAAAACTGACCAGATGAAATGCAGCTCCTGAGTACATTTATGATCATATTACATCAGGATGATGATCTATAAATTCATAAATTCATGCATTCATCAGATTTAATGTCAAATGATGTTTAAAACACACTAAAAATGCATCCAAAAAGTTGTCTCCTACTCGCGATTCCCTACACTTGTAATTACCCATGCGCTAATGATCAAAACTGACCAGCTGAAATGCTCAAATGCATCTCCTGAGTCCATTTATCATCATATTGCATCGAGATGAGGATCTATAAATTCATAACTTCATGCATTCATTAGATCTATTGCATACTGATGTTTAAAGAAGCATCCAAAAAGTTGCCAGTAATTACCGATCCCCTGATGATCTAAAACTGACCAGATGTGAACACATAACCCTAACTTAACCTCATGCTTGTCCTACACATCCCGAATCTAAATCTCTCTCCGGACTCATTTCTGTCATACTTTGCTTTCATGCGCTGTGAATGAGGAATGCATTAGCACGTTCTCCGTCTTTGGTAAAGCACAGCTGCTGGTCTCCGTCCTCCTACATTCCAGCTTGTGAAAGCGTCATGATTCTCTCCCTGACGACTAGCAGATATGATCCGCTGGAATGCAGGTGCTTGTCAAGTCGAGCGGTGATGCGGTGGTAAATTGCGATGGTTAAAGGGCCCCTGAAGGGCCACGGCTCGCAGCAACACTTGACCCAAGAACTCGTGCTGAGCCAAGAGAAAAAGTGAAGAGTGTGTGAGTGTGTGAGCAGAGCTGAGTGCACGCATTAGTGTGCGTGCAAAGTGGGTTTTAAGCAGATTGAGGCTTTAGGATTGGTTTTAGAGACAGGTGGAGACATGTTGGAGGATGTGGGATGGAGAGGAAGAGTACAAGAGGAAGGGGAGGAAGATAAGGATAAGGGTCCATATCTGGTAAGTGTGTAATGATGTAGATGTTTCTGTAAATACATTTCAGTGTGTGGATTTTTGGTCCAGTGTGGACAGTTACAGTACTGTATTGAACTGTATGAACGAATGCATGTGTACAACTTTATTTGAGGCATCTAGTTTTGAATAACTTAATTTGATGAAGAAATCTTAAAGGTGCAGTAGGTGATCTGCCAAAATGCTAATCGGTTAGCATTAGCTTTGGACGGCAGGGGAGGGACTTTGTTTCAAAGCCACGCCTCCAGAAACACGTGACACGACAGCAGATAACCCACTAGTTCATGTCATCCGCCAGTTAGAAGTGTATGTAGTGGTTGGCCCGGCAGCGTGCAGGAATTTCACATATTACTAAGCCAAACTTACATGCTACTTCAGAGCGAATATTCAGAGAAGCGGTAAACAATATAGGGAGCGGGTTCAGAAATGACCCAATGTGAATATAAAAGCATCTTCAGCTCAGTAAAGTAGGCTAGGCGGAATAGCACAATTTAATGACGTTATGTTGTTAAATTAAATTTAAATCTACATTATCGATGCTGTAAAAATACCTTATGAAACTGAAAATAGTCTCATCAATCTTTCACCGGGAGATTTCAGTGGCTGAACAACACGTCTGTGCATATAACCCATTTGTAACAACAACATCTGCATCAGCTCTGCGTGAAGCTAAAGTAGTTTTACAACAGAACATTACCTGTCTAACAGAAATACTTCAGCCATGGTGTCATCCTTCCTTCAGCGTGCAAAACTCACTCCAATATTGATTCAGGAGTTTAAAAAGTTTCGATTCAGCATTTGATTTTGCCGTGACTGTGACTGTCTCGTGTCATGAACGTGCGGAGCTCATGCAGGCGCGCACATGCTAATGCCCAAATCTGCATTTGTTGATAGACAGTTTGAGCTACTTCTTGGAAATATAGGAGATGTCGGCCCGACAATATTTAATTGGACGAACATTTTTTTGTTTTATTCCTTACCCAGAAAATAAAAATACATGCAGTTTAAACACACTTAGATCAGCGGTTCCCAACAGGGGGGTCGCTAGGATATTCAATGTTGGAAATCAACATTATGATGCATAACTACAAAGGTCCTAAAGACCGCTGTGTTTACTTCAAAAATGCCACTAATGTCTGCATACTCCACATGCCTTAATTTCATTTCTGTTTAGTTCAGTTATGATTTTAGTTGGATTAAGGTCATCAAAAAAATCGCTGCTTGAGCTTATCTAGGCCTAAAGTAAACATAGGTACATCTTAGAAAACGGTGACGCAGTGGCACAGTAGGTAGGGCTGTCACCTCACAGCAAGATGGTCGCTGGGTTGCAGGTTTGAGCCTCGGCTGGGTCAGTTGTCATTTCTGTGTGGAGTTTGCATGTTCTTTCTGCGTTTGCGTGGGTTTCCTCCGGGTGCTCCGGTTTCCCCCATAGTCCAAAGACATGTGGTACAGTTTATGTGGGTAAGCTAGATTATCCGTAGTGTATGAGTGTGTGTGTGGATGTTTCCCAGAGATGGGTTGCGGCTAGAAGGGTAAAAACGAGCTGGATAAGTTGGTGGTTCATTGCGCTGTCGTGACCGCTTTTTTATAAATGGACTAAGCCGAAAAGAAAATGAATGAATTAATCTTATTGAACATCATTTATTTTCATCACTAATTATCATAGTAGAACAGTTTCTCAAGCAGTTTGTGATGCATTTTGAGAAACCGGAGATGAGCTCCTGGTCTAATGCGCCATCTGGCTTGAGAAAATATTTAAGTAGCACACATATTCTGAATGCCTTCGGCAAAATTCAAATGAGCCATTTTAATCTAGATTAATCTAGATTTTAAAAAATTATATACCTATATGATAAACATACCGTTTGTTTGAAAACAACATTTTTTGTCATCATTACTGCAAACTTATATGAGCGATTATATCATTAAATGTGGAGAGGGGCCTTACAATATTTTCAGGGGAAAAGGGGGGTCTCAGGCAAAAAAAGGTTGGGAACCACTGATTTAGATCATTTACTTTAATCATTAATATTGGACTGTGAAGAGAATTTCAATCAGCAAAACAACAAATGTTTCTGAAGACAATCACCTACTGCACCTTTAATATATGAACAGTTAAGTCTCTTTTACAATTTTTTTTATTTAATATTACAGTAATGTATAATAAATAATGAGGCAAGCAATTTTACTAATGGTTAAAAATGGTAAAGTTCGGAGTCAATATAAAGTTATTGTTTGTTTTTGTCAGCACCAATTTGTTATGTTGATCTATAGTGACTTTTAAAAGCATTTTTACATTAATGCTGTTTTTTTTAATCCTGTAGTAATGCATCATATTGTTGATTTCCAACATTGTTGGAAATCATATCATAACATCATATTGTTGATTTCCAACATCCCAATTCATCTTTCTGTGTGGAGTTTGCATGTTCTCCCTGCCTTCGCGTGGGTTTCCTCCGGGTGCTCAGGTTTCCCCCACAGTCCAAAGACATGTGGTACAGGTAAATTGGGTAGGCTAAATTGTCCGTAGTGTATGAGTGTGTGAATGTGTGTGTGGATGTTTCCCAGAGATGGGTTGCGGCTGGAAGGGCATCCGCTGCGTAAAAACTTGCTGGATAAGTTGGCGGTTCATTCCGCTGTGGTGACCCCGGATTAATAAAGGGACTAAGCCGACAAGAAAATAAATGAATGAAAATAGTGTTCAGTTATGCTGTGCTGAAACTATACTTAACTTTAAAACTGAGGTATAAAACAAAAAGCCATTTTTATACTATACTGCACACCCCTACTATCTAGTGTCTATCTATCTACTGTAAATGAACTGCTCCCATCAGCATCAAATCAATTCCAGCCATCTCTAATAGTGAAATCAGCTCTTATGTAAGGTGTTGGTGTGGATCACGCTTTCTGCACAGAGACAGCCTCATTGAGCCACATCAAATAACACACATCCAGACGAAAACATTCACTGCACAGCATAGCACAGATCAAACAACAAGCCGATTTCCGAATCCGCTCAGTTATTCCTGCTTTGATGATTCCTAACGGCGAACAGCATTACACAGAAGACACAGCACAGAGCGTGAGAGCGGATGAGCAGAGCCGTCAATGGGCAGAAACATGAATAAAGAGATTATCTGTGGGCTGAATTCTGACTGCTCAGTCCTGTTATTGTGGACAAACTCTCTTGAGGCAATTCATATTTGCTTTCTTCTCAAACTCAAATCGAAATCGTTTTATGTTCATTTATTTATCCAGTGTTTTTAATCTTGTTTTATATTAAAAAGGTCCAAGATATAACTTTTGTGTGTAAAATGATAACAACATAGCTTAAAGGTTTAAAGTTTTTTTAAACTTAGCTAATGGTTGTGACAAACCCCAAAAAAGTTTATAGTTTGGGATCAGTATAAATTTATTGGGTTTTTTTTAGTACCATCAATTCATTATGTTGATCTACAGTGACTTTTTTTTTACTCTTAATTCTGTTTTTATGCATCATGTTGTTTTCCAGCGATGAAAATAGTAAATATTTAAGAAAATAAATAATTAAAAAAATGTATATATATATATATATATATATATATATATATATATATATATATATATAATATTTATTTATTTATTTATTTATTTATTTAACCAGGAATATCCCATTGAGATACAATATATTTTTTACCAGGGAGTCCTGGTCAAGACAGGCAGCATAGGACAAAGTTACAAAAAATAAATAAATAAATAAAATGTTATAATATTAATAATAATAAATACATGTCACGACACATAGACACACAAAAATATTATAAACCATAGTTAATTGTTAAAACATGTGCACTGTTCTAAATTGACAGTCTTTAAAATATTTTTAAATATAGTAATAGATGGTACGGATTTCATATGTAGTACATCTTGAAGCTCGTTCCATACATATGGAGCATACTTAGAGAATGCAGATCGACCTAACTGTGTAAAAAATGGCATCTTAAGTAAGAGTATAACTATTACAATCATTTTAATATTTAAATACAAATGATTTCTGAAATGTCGTGTGACACTGAAAACTTGCATTGTTTGCATCACAGGAATAAATAACATTTGAAAAAATACGTTCACATAGAAAACAGTTATTTTAAACTGTAAATACATTATTATTGTGTTTTTAATTAAATATTAAAATATCAGTATCCATATTTAAAGAAATACAATTATTGACTGCACATTTTTCTATTGTGAATGTCATTAACATTCACCCTTTAAATCACTCGAAGAATGTGAAAAGAAGAAAGAAAACCAGTACGAAGCAATTACTTGATGAGTGCGAATCATTTTTGAATATTATAAATATTATCAATTAACATTTCTTACAGCAAAAATCCGACAAGCAGACACAAATATTACAAAAATAAAAATAACTGACCTGCATCTCATTCATGTTCATAATGGTCCGTGTGGGGCGTTTTGTGCCCAGACGAAACCGCAGACCCTCATCCAGTGTCATACCCCAGAACTGACTGTAGTTTGCTGCCCTCCAACTGGAGAGACAGAATGAGAGAGGAAAGCACTTTCACTTGTGCACTAGTTACACTTCATACACAGCATATTAAACACCTGTATTAATGCTCACCCATAGTCTCTCCTGTTGATTTCCTGGATCATGTCGTCCTCTATCAGACAGGCGTGTTGTTCACATTCCCAGCGTCCATTTTGACCACATGTACTGCAGGACACAAATACAAACAAACTCTTAGTGTGCAAAAGTGAAGAAACAAAAAACCATTTACAAACAATTGTCCAATGAAGGAAGTGATCTTCAACCAGGCCCGGATTGGCTAATTCCCGGTGGGCCGGTCCGTTTTTTGGCCACGAGGGCCGGTGTCCCTAGCTGCTTGCACTCTCAGCAGTTGCACTTTTTTCATTTATTTGTTTATTTGACCATAACCTCACTCTTTTTAATCATTCTTTTGCCGCAGCTCCGCTCTTTTTATTTATTTTCTCGCAGCCCCGTGAGCAAAATGCAGCCCGCAGGATAATGATGATCATCATTAACCTGCGGGCTGCACCCCATTCCACCCCAAACAGCGGTACCCTAGTGAATATTAATTAATATTAATGAATATAACACCTGCTCAATGAAAATCAGATGATTCACTACATTAATAAATATGACATAACTTGATCAGAAATCTAAAAAGGGGAGAAAAAGAGTAGGGTAAAATAAAGAGTAGAAATCAATAGCAGCAGATAACAATGCTGTGCATGACAGCGCCATTGTGGTCTAGCATGTTACATTATGACGCCGCTGATCCGAGTTCGAACCTCACCAGAATATAATATGTTTTTTTCATTTTCAGTGTAAAGACATAAAATACTGTTTGGGTTACTTATGTAGGGGTACATTTTTTTTCTTCTGTGACAACCCTTACAAAGGACTGGATATCTATAAAGAATTAATGTTCTCATATTTATGAAAAGTTCTAAGGCAGCTGTGTCCTTGAAAAAGACATGTTAGTGTCATTTGAAACTGAATTGGAAATAACGTCATTTTAATATAGTCAGTCGTCGACTGAGGTGGGCCGGTCTAAGGCTTGAAACTCCAGAGCCACAAAGGAGTCCCACTCCGGCCCTGTTTTTAACCCCAGGAAAAGAAAAGGAAAATATTATGTGATGTTCTATTGATTTGAAATGAGCTTTGCCATATTTTATATCAACATAATTTTTGTTAAAACAATTTACACCTTTATAACAAACCATTCAGGACTGTTTTGAGCCGGAGGATAAACGTTCCTAAAACAAAAGATAAACTAAAAAGGCCTCAAAAATACACATCTTTTAAAATAGTTTTACTTAAAAAAGAAAGATTTGTAGAAAGAAAAAACTAAAAGTGGGCAACACGGTGGCTCATTGGTTAGCACTGTCACCTCACAGCAAGAAGGTTGCTGGCTCAAGTCCTGCCTGGGTCTGTTGGCATTTCTGTGTGGAGTTTGCATACAGTATTCTTCCCATGTTGGCTTCGGTTTCCTCCGGGTGCTCCGGTTTCCCCCACAGTCCAAACACATGCGCTATAGGTGAACTGAATAAACTAAGTTGGCCAAAGTGTATGAGTGTGAATGAGAGTGTATGGATATTTCCTGGTACTGGGTTGCAGCTGGAAGGGCATCTGCTGTGTAAAACATATGCTGGATAAGTTGGCGGTTCATTCCGCTGTGGCGACCCCTGATGAATAAAGGGACTAAGCCAAAGGAAAATGAATGAATGAATGGTTGAATGAATAAAAAAACTAAAAGTAATACTTTCGTGATGAGGGTATGCAACTTCAACTTCAAAGCAATTTGTTTTGTAAAATTATCTATGAAGTAAAAAAAAAAATGTTAACATATGGGTTATTCTCAGATTATATTTACTTATTTATAAAAAAAGATATATTCATTCATTCATTCATTTTTTTTACCGCTTAGTACATTTATTAATCAGGGGTCACCACAGCGGAGTGAACCGCCAACTTATCCAGCATATGTTCTATGCAGCAGATGTCCTGGGAAACTCTCCTTCATACACGTACACTACGGACAATTTAGCTTACCGAATTCCCCTACAGCGCTTGTGTTTGGACTGTGGTTTTAGTTTTTAAAATTATGACTAGTAAAAATAATCATTCTTTCAGACTAAACAGTGTACAGATACAGTGCATACTTATAACATTTTGTGATGATAAATACTTTGTTAAATAAGTCTTGAGATCATATTGACAGAAAGTGACTGTCACTGACTTTAAAACCTCATTGTCTATTTCATTAGTGCAAATTCTGAGCACTGAACTAACTTGTAGATTCAGTGTTATTGTAATAAACAACATAGTGTGCTTATATAAGTTTTTAAAAATAAATTTAGGAAGACCTAGCCATGGAGAAAGAAAAAAAACAAAACAAAGAAAACAGTTTTGGCATTTTTGTATTTGAGACACAAAACAAGAGGAGTGGATTATGAGAGAGAGAGAGAGAGAGAGGGGGGGGGGGGCTGTGAGCCTTTTAAGGCTGCAGCTCTTGAAATATCCATTTTTAGTCAGTCTGTATGAAGGAAGGAGGTTCAAGAGGAGCAAGGATTAAAGAGGAAGAGCAGAATTGCACTGCTAATACATAACTACAGAACATGAGTCATGAGGAGAGCAGAGCTCAAAACAAAATAAAGCATGTTACCTTTCCAGCACCCTTTTTATTAGACACATGAATCATATCCCATATCACTCTGCAGCCCAAGTTACCCACTGAAGCTAAGCAGGGCTGAGCCTGGTCAGTACCTGGATGGGAGACCACATGGGAGAGCAAGGTTGCTGTTGGTGAGGCCAGCAGGGGTGGCTCAACCTGCGGTCAGTGTGACTCCTAATGTCCCAGTCAAGTGAAGAGGACGCTATACTGTCAGTGAGTGTCTTTCGGATGAGAAGTTAAACCGACGTCCTGATTCTCTGTGGTCATTAAAAATCCCATGGCACTTCTTGTAAAGAGTAGGGATGTAACCCCAGTGTCCTGGCCTCCCAATCATTCCCACCGAATTGGCTCTATCCCTGTTTGTAAATCTTGTGTTTGGCAAAAGCTTTGCTATTAGTTTGCCTTCCAGTTTACAATATGCAAAAACACATTTACAGTATTTACAGCAACCACATATAACCACGAATCAAACACCTTACATAGCAACAAAGTTATGGCAAGCAATTTTTTATACTATAATCTCTTAGTAGAGAAGGAATTTCTGACCGATAACAGATAACACTTTAGATTTGGAGGCTGACAGTCAGTATATAAAGCTTCAAAATGTTCTGCATTACTTCAAAATAAAGGGCAAACAAATACAGTTGAACAATATATTTCATTTTAAAGCCTTATCTTCAGAAAAGTTTGAACTTTAATAATCAATTATTTATTTCTATTGCCATCTTTATTAAATATATTCAAAAAGGTGGCAACTCCAAAACTCCAAAATCGCCAATTTATTCAATTAAAAAGGCTGACACAACAAGCTTTTTTGGTGAGCACTCATTTAAAGTGATGTTCATGCATTTGTGCACTTTTTATTTAACATAAATAAAATCTACTCGCTGACAAAACAAAATGCATAAATAAAACAATCAAATCACTGAACGTTACTCAAAATAAAAATACCAGTATAATAATTTAAATGTGGCCAGCAGAAAAGCGTTTGACGTGGTTCAGCCAACAGAAATAACACAAAACTTATCAGGTTGCAAATATCGGCTTCATTTTTTCCAAACAAATAATGATAACATTAAAATGAGCAATTATTGGCCGATATAGTTGCTGATATATTGTGCATCCCTTTTTTAATAACTTCAGACATGCTTTTTTAGTAGTAGAAGCACAATTATAAACAAGGGTTGTTTTCCTTGACATAATATGTATGTGTACTTTGCATATGTATTATGTATAAATACACACATGCATGCATATATTTGAGGAAATGCTTATATTTAGATACAAAATATGTATGTATATGAAACTAATTATATGTAAATTGATATATAATCATTTTGTATACTTTTGTTTCAATGTTTGCATGTATCACATTTTTACACACAATTTTGTTATTGTATATTCTCCTTTTGTTTTTCTGTCTTTTTATTTACTGTAAAGCATCTCACAACCCCCATAATTGTGTTTTTTTACTTTATAAAATTTGTATTTTGTTAAACTAACATATCAAAAAACTACTTAATAAAGGTATATTTTTGTTTTTTTCAATTATTTATTATTATTATTATTGCTATTATTTTAATTATTTATTATTTAAATTTATTATTTTTATTTTACATTAAGTCATGTGTTTTTGTTGATTTATTTTAACAATGTTTTTTTTAAATGTTCTGTTAAAATTAAAATGTAACTTTATGCATTTATATATTGTGATAATTTTTCACTTCGATTTTCTTAAAAAGTTATCCACAGCTTTTAATCCAAGCCATCTTCCAGCCCTTAATATTTTTAGTTTATATTTTACAAAAAATTTTTATCTAGACCCTATTTAAAACAGACGAATAGCCAATGCCCCAGTAAATGTGTTTAGTTACAGCTTACTTTAGATCCCAGTCTATAAATTAAGATTGGAAATCCAAGAATAAAGACGCTATTCTCTATGCACATCTATATAAAAATAGTTTTGTTCTCTATTCTCCTGAGACCCCGGCCATTGACTTGTGTCCTCTGTAGTGGACATTATTTTTTCATGAATTTTCTTTGAATTTTTAGAGCTACTCCGTCAAGTCCTTTTGTACTGTTCAGAGAACATCCTGGGCTTTCTAGTGAAATGTCATTTGATTGGCTGGCATGCTAGGAACCACTTCTTACACTGCATCCAAAATGGGCAACATACACCAACACGCACATTTTATGGGAAGGAGAGAGGTGTGTAAAATTTTGCTTTTTAATTTTGTTTTTTTACTATTGTCATTACATATACATACATATATATATATATATATATATATATATATATATATATATATATATATATATATATATATATATATATATATATATATGTTTGTTTATTAAAGAATCAGGAACAATACATTTAGCTTTCAAAGCTGTTAACTTGTTTGTGTTTCAAAAATCTTTTTTTAAACGTCCACTATAGTGGACACCAGGACCATCTTAATGTAATTAATGACTGCATGTTGTGGGGGCCAGAACTAAAGCAGGGATGATTCTT